GTAGCAAGGAGACGCATGACAGTAGGACTGGCAGCACGAAGAGAGTCCGACTCCGGGTCGGCAAGAGCTGGAAGAGAGGACTCAGGAGGAGAAGGCAAAGGGGCACGCAGAGGAACAGTGGACGGACGCAGAGACATCCGGTGCGTGCCAGGGACAGGAGGAGGACGCGGACACGAACCACGACCACTAGTGCGAGCAGGACGGACAGGCGACCCAGGACGAGACGCAGGCTCACGACGCTCAGCAAGACCTCCAGTAGGACCAGTGTAGGGAGAAGGCGCAGGCAGTGGGGAGGCCGGCTGTAACTGTAGCTGTGACGAGACAGGTTGTGGACACTCTAAGGGAGGAGAAGGACCAGTAGAAGGCGGGAGACCAAGAACATGCTGAAGGAGTGGAACAAAGTACGGCCGCGGCCGCGCGGCGACTCCCGACACAGCAGGGACAGCACTAGCACCCCCACCGGCAGCACCAGCGCCAGCAGCACCTCCAGCTCTAGTACCTCCTGCAGCACCAGTAGCACCCTCAGCAGGACCGCCTCCAGGACCGACAGCAGTAGCCTCAGCGCCATCACCCTCAGTAGCTCCAGCTCCAGTCGTACCCGCAGGCCCAGCAGCTCCAGTACTCCCAGTACGAGCACCTCCGGGACCCGCGGCACCAGCACCCTCAGTAGCCGAAGAACCTCCAGCTCCAGCAGCACGCCTCGAGCGCCGGGCAAACCACTCGCGCAGCTCCGGTGGAGAGAGTGGCTCCCGCCGAGACGCAGTAGCCGGAGAACCTCCAGGCCCAGCACCCCAAGACGCCACACGAACAGGCCGAGCTCCCGCACGCTCCACACCCCCAGGCTCAGCACCACCAGACGAAGCACCCCCAGGCTCAGCACCCCCAGGCGTAACACCCCCAGGCCCAGCACCCCCAGGCTCAGCACCCCAAGACTCAGCACCCCCACGCGTAACACCCCCAGGCTCAGCACCCCCAGGCTCAGCACACCGAAGCTCAGCACCCACACGCTCAGCACCCCCAGAGTCACCAGTAACCTCGACAGGCTCGAATGCGTCTACCTGGGACACACCTGAAGGGCAGGACCCTAAGGGGGGAGGGGGTCTACCGGGGTGGGACCAGGTACAAGGAAGAGCGGAGGCAGGGGAAGGGACGGAGTGCGGTAGGGGAAGAGGCGGTAGTAGGGGACTGACTCGTCAAACGTGACGTCCTGAGAGGACAGAACACGGTGAGAGGTGGGGTGGTAGAACTTCCCCCCTGGCGCGTCAGGGGGGAAGCCAAGGAAGACGTAAGGAGCAGCACGAGGGGACAGCTTGTCCGCAGACAAGTCGCGGACAAACGCCCGAGATCCCCAGACACGGAACGCAGACGCATCGCCAACCTTCCCCGTCCACAGCAAAGCTGGGGAGGTCTCCGGCATGGAGACCCTGGGCTGAAGGTTGATCTGATGCGCCGCGTACCGAACCGCAAACGGCCACAGAAAATCGGGGGCAGCCGCATGCATCATGGACGTACGAGCGACGTCCATGACCATGCCAATGCGGCGCTCAGCAATCCCATTTTGCTGTGGAGAGTCCGGAAGCGTGAAGGTCTGACGGATGCCTCGTGCACGACAGTAGGCTCACAGAAGGCCAGAGGAGAACTCTCCGCCTCTGTTAGAGTGCAAACGCAGAACAGGAAAGTCCGAGCCGAAGCTCTGCCTGAGCTGGAGACGAGCTGCGCGGATCCAGTCGATCAGCACCTCAGTGACATCACCCTTGCTGCGCAAGGGGAAGACTGTGGTGTAACGCGAGTAGCGCTCGTGACCCTGTCCACGGACGCGGGTTGGGCCCCACACGTCCATGTGAAGCGTTTGCAGCGGGGCCTCTGTCGGAGGAAACTGGGAGGAGTGAGGGGCAGCCCGCTGCCGCCCCTCGACACAGGGGACGCAGGTAGGGCCAGGCCCTGGAGGAAGGGGAGGGAGGGACCAGGGAAGACCAGAAACAAGGAGACGGGAGGCCATGCCTCTTAGACAAAGCAGAGAGGGGTGACCAAGGCGGTGGTGCCAGAGGAGAGTCTCGTGAGACAGGAGGCGACACGAGCAGGGGGCAGACTCAGGACTAGACCTGGACGCTGCAGCAAACACCTGACCCAACGTAGCTGCCTGACTAGACACAGGGACAGGAGGAGACGCAGTGGTCAGTGTGTATAGGCTCGACCCCAGCCGACGTGTAAACGTGGCTAAGTGTTGGCCCGTCCGAGCCTCAGTGCAGTGGGTCACTCGCTGGCTCACAGGAGTGAACTGGTGAACTCCCCCATCCTGTAGGTCAGCACCACTCACCAAGTTTGTAGAGAACGAGGGGAGGTAAAGACCAGACAGGGTGCCTGAGGGAGCAGCCGGACACGGGAGGAGAGTGGAGAAGTGAGCAAGGACAGGACCCCCAGAGGGGTCTGCCAGAGAGACTGCAACTGGCCGACCAAGCAGCGTGAGTGTGGTGCGGTCTCGAAAGAAGGAGCGAGAAGCCCCTGAGTCAAGGGTGAAGGTGAGGGAGGCCGAAGCCGGCGCAGTACCTGAGAGAGCAGACTCACCAGCACCTAAGGACGCAGACACACTAGCACCTAGAGCAGCAGCCTCGCTAGCACCTAGAGCAGCAGCCTCACCAGTACCTAGAGCAGCAGTCTCAATGCCCGGGTCGGGCGGAAAACACCGGTAACAGTCACCCTCATCACTATTAGTCACAGCATACATGGCAGCAAGAATAGCATCAAAGTCAAGGTCAAAGATAGCTACTCCCGCCCTAGATAGCTCACCCCAGCGGGGGATCTTAGTGGCCTCCGGGAACTGGTGACGCCAAGCGTCTGTCAGGCGGCCAAAGCAGCGGTGGGTGGAGTGCGCAACCCCACACTGCTCACCCGCGCGGTCACTGGTGCGTAGGACGTAGGTGCACGGACCAGCCCCCCCACCCCGCTGGCGTGCAATGTACCACTCACGGAGCTGCTGAGGGGGGGGGGGATGTCATGAGTGCGCTGCTGCTGCTGCTGGTGCTGACCACTGCCGGAGCCGACCCTCTGCGCAGCGACACCCCGACTAGCTCCACCTCCTCCGCCACCCCCTCCCCCACCGCCGCCACCTCCGCTACCTCCGCTCCCACCGCCACCGCCGCCGCCTCCTCCGCCTCCACTGCCGCCACCTCCACCTCCACCCCCGCCGCCACCCCCACCGCCACCCCCACCCCCTCCGCCGCCTCCACCGCCGCCTCCACCGCCCCCGCTAGCTGCTCCAGCGCCCTTGCCCCCCTTGCCCTTGCCAGGGCGGCGCTTCCCGCTCAAGGTAGACGCCGCACCGACCAACTCCAGACCAACAAGGTCGGCCGCAGCAGCAGAGGCAACAGAGGGCAAAAGGGGGGAGGGGGAACACCCCTCAAAGATGGGGGTGAGCGGGTCACCACGAGAGGCTCCTACAGCTACTATGCTCTTCTCCGCTGCTAGGAGGGCCTTCTCGAGGAGGTCATCGGTGAGAGTGGTGGGGCAAACTGCGAGGAAGTGGTCCCTGACTACGCGAAGGGAGTCAAGGAGCCGGGTGACTATGTAGTAGAGGGTGATGTACATGGGGGGGGGGGGTTCTTGGCGCAGAACTCAGCAGGAAGCGCAGCGCGGTAGCGAGTGTCACTTGTGCGGAGGTGCGTAATGAGGTCAGCGACTGTGGGAAAGGCAGCAAGGTAAGGGAAGAGGTACGGTAGCATGAGGCGGCTCACTGCAGCAGTGGCAGGGGAGGAGTAGCGTGCAACTACAGGGTCGTACAAGGTCTGAGCACTCTTGTACTGACTAAAGTGCACACGCTCAGAGGTAGGCAGGTGGTGTCGCACAGCAAGACGTGCAGCAGCATCGCGTGTGACCCACTGTGAGCGAACAGTGGCGTCGGCATCAGTAGTAGGGGCAGGAGAGGCTCCAGAGGTGAGGTCAAAGAGAGAGAGACCGTCTGCCCTATCGCACTGTAGGAAAAGCTGCAGGTCATCTACCCAGACGTCAAAGTCAATGGCACGCCCCTCAGCGTCAAAAGTGAGGACACTAGGGGTAGCCATGACAGCAGTAGACTAGCAGCTCGAACAGTAGGGTAACGGTAGTGCAGTGACAGAGGCGCTGCTCTTACCTGACAGGGCGGCTCGGGCGGCTCGTCGGTTCGGCGACTTGGCAACTCGGCGGCTCGGCGATACAGCGGCTCGGGGATACAGCGGCTCGGCAGCAACCGCGGCTCGGCGGCTCGGGCGACTCGGGCGGCTCGGGCGACTCGGCAGTCCAGGCGGCTCGGCGGCTCGGTAGCAGGTGACGGCGCCGGTGGCTCGGTGACGGCGGCGGGGCCGGCAGAGGCGGTGCCGGGGCCGCAGGTAGGCGACGGGGCCAGAAAGGGTGGGGCTGGGTCGGGAATGTCAGAACATTATAGCTTACTTATTTGTGTAGGCTATAGTGGGTTATCCCATAGGGGGTACAACCCAACTAGGGTTTCCTATTTGTACTCACTTCATTCATAGTTCATTCATCCTCTTTCTTTCTTTCACATGGAACCAGAGCAGGTTCCCTCCTAGGGACTGCTTCTAGGGCCCACCGAAGCGCGCCCCGAGGCGCGTTTTCCTTTTTTTTTAGCGACCCGTTGTGTCGCCCCCAGCGGCCCGTCGCGCCGCCCTTTGATCGCGGCTCCGCCGCGCTTCCTTAGCGGCCTCGCCGCCCTTCGATCGCGGCCCCGCCGCCCTTCGATCGCGGCTCCGCCGCCCTTCCTTAGCGGCCCCGCCGCCCTTCGATCGCGGCCCCGCCGCTCTTCGATCGCGGCCTCGCCGCCCTCTGCTAAGCGGCCCCGCCGCCATTCGATCGCGGCCCCGCCGCCCTCTGCTAAGCGGCCCCGCCGCCCTCTACTAAGCGGCCCCACCGCCTTGCTCACGCGGCCCCGCCGCCCTCTGCTACGCGGCCTCGCCGCCGCGTCGCCCGTGCACCCCGTGCACCTACTCGTGCGGCCACCAGTGCAGCCGCCCATGAGCAGCCTGCGAGCCGCCCCAGCCGCCCGTGCAGCCTCCCGTGCATCGCCCGTGAGCCGCCCCAACCGCCCGTGCAGCCGCCCGCGAGCCGTCCCAGCCGCCCGTGCGGCCGCCCGTGAGTCGCCCGCGAGACGCCCGCGCCGCCCGAGCCGCCCGCGCCGCCCGCGAGACGCCTGCGCCGCCCGAGCCGCCCGAGCCGCCCGCGAGACGCCCGCGCCGCCCGAGCCGCCCGAGCCGCCCGAGCCACCCGAGCCGCCCGAGCCGCCCGAGCTGCCCGAGCCGCCCGAGCCGCCCGGGGAGCCGATCTTCTGCTCCTGTGGGGCTCCTCCTGCTCCTGGGCCGGCGCAGCTGCTGTGCTGCCGTGTTGCTGTGTCACTGTGCTACCCGACTCTTCCTTCCCGGTGAGAGTGTCAGCTGCTACAATGACCACCCCCAGTGTCCTGACTTTTGACGCTGAGGGTCGCGCCCTTGACTTTGCAGTCTGGATTGAGGACCTGCAGCTGTACTTACTATGCGATGCGATCGATGAGGTTTCTCTCTTTGACTTTGTCTCTGGCGCTGTCCCTGCCCCTCCTGCTGATGCTGACCCCACTGTTCGCTCCAAGTGGGCCACACGCGATGCTGCTGCACGTCTTGCTGTGCGTCGCCACCTCCCTTCCTCCGAGCGTGCACACTTTAGTCAGTGCAAGACCGCTCAGGCCTTGTACGACGCTGCAGTTGCACGCTACTCCTCCCCTTCCACTGCTACACTGAGCCGCCTCATGCTACCGTACCTCTTCCCAGACCTTGCTGCCTTTCCCACAGTCACTGACCTCTTTACCCACCTTCGCGCTAGTGACACTCGCTACCGAGCTGCGCTTCCTGCTGCCTTCCTTGCCGAAAACCCCCCTCCCATGTACATCACCCTCTACTTTCTAGTCACCCGTCTCCCTGAGACCCTTCGTGCTGTTAGGGACCAGTTTCTCTCTGTCTGTCCCACCACCCTCACTGTCGACCTCCTTGAGAAGTCCCTGCTAGCGGCCGAGAAGAGCATAGTCGCTGTAGGGGCCTCTCGTGGTGACCCGCGCACCCCCATCTTTGAGGGGTGTTCTCCTTCCCCCCTGTTACCCTCTGTCGCCTCTGCTGCTGCGGCCGACCTCGTTGGTTTAGAGTCGGTCGGTGCGGCGTCTGCCCCCAGCGGTAGGCGCCGCTCTGGCAGGAGCAAGGGGGGCAAGGGAGCGGGTGGAGCTAGCGGGGGCGGTGGCGGAGGAGGTGGGGGCGGCGGGGGGAGTGGGGGTGGCGGTGGGGGTGGAGGCGGGGGTGGAGGTACTGGTGGCGGCGGTGGAGGCGGAGGTGGCGGCGGAGGTGGTGGCGGAGGAGGCGGTGGGAGCGGCGGGGCGAGGGTGGCGGTGGCGGCGGTGGCGGCGGAGGCGGGGGTGGCGGTGGTGGAGGTGGTCGGAGTGGCTCGTCCCAAAGGAGCGGCACTGGGGGTGGTCAGCGCCAGCAGCAGCAGCAGCAGCGCTCTCGCGACGTCCCCGCCCCTCAGCAGCTCCGTGAGTGGTACTCGCAGCGTCAGCGTGGTGGGGCGTTCGGTCCCTGCACCTACGTCCTTCGCACCGGCGACCGCGCGGGTGAGTAGTGTGGGGGCACCCACATCGCTCGCCGCTGCTTTGCCCGCCTGACCGACGCTTGGCGCCAGCAGTTTCCGGAGGCCTCTGAGATCCCCCGCTGGGGAGAGCTGTCTAGGGCTGGTGTAGCTGTGTTTGATCTTGACTTTGATGCTATCCTTGCTACGATGTATGCTGTGACTGTTAGTGATGATGGTGACTGTTACCGGTGCTTTCCGCCCGACCCGGGCATTGGTACTGCTGTGTCAGGTGCCAGTGAGGCTGCTGCTCTAGGTGCCAGTGCGTCTGTGCTCTCAGGTGCTAGTGAGTCTGCCCTCCCAGGTACTGTGTCGGCTTCTGCCTCCCACACCTTCACCCTTGACTCTGGGGCGTCTCGCTCCTTCTTTCGGGACCGCACCACTCTCACGCCGCTTAGTCGGCCGGTTGCGGTGTCCCTGGCTGACCCCTCTGGGGGTCCTGTCCTGTCTCGTTTCTCCACAGTCCTCCCGTGTCCGGCGGCTCCCTCTGGCACCCTGTCTGGTCTTTACCTCCCCTCGTTCTCTACAAACCTGGTTAGTGGTGCTGACCTACAGGATGTGGGGGTCCACCAGTTCACTCCTGCTCGTCAGCGGGTAACACACTGCACAGAGGCTAGCACAGGTCGCCACCTGGCTACGTTTAGACGTCAGCCAGGGTCGAGCCTGTACACACTGACCACTGCTTCTCCTCCCGGTGCTGAGTCTGGTAGAGTCCCTTTGTTTGGTCAGGTGTTTGCTGCAGCGTCCAGGACTGGTCCTGAGTCTGCCCCCTGTTCGTGTCGCCGTCTGTCTCACGAGACTCTCCTCTGGCACCACCGCCTTGGCCACCCCTCTCTGCTTCGGCTCAGAGGCATGGCCTCCCGTCTTCTTGTGTCTGGTCTCCCCCGGTCCCTCCCTCCCCTTCCTCAGGGCCCTGGCCCTGCCTGTGTCCCCTGCGTCGAGGGGCGCCAGCGTGCTGCCCCTCACTCCTCCCAGTTTCCTCCAACAGAGGCTCCGTTGCAGACACTTCACATGGACGTGTGGGGCCCTGCCCGCGTCCGTGGTCTCGGTCACGAGCGCTACTTCCTGTTGGTGGTTGACGACTACTCGCGTTACACCACAGTCTTCCCCTTGCGCAGCAAGGGTGATGTCACTGAGGTGCTGATCGACTGGATCCGCGCAGCTCGTCTCCAGCTCAGGCAGAGCTTTGGCTCGGACTTTCCTGTGTTGCGTCTGCACTCGGACAGAGGCGGAGAGTTCTCCTCTGGCCTTCTGCGTGCCTTGTGTCGTGCGCGAGGCATCTGCCAGACCTTCACGCTTCCGGACTCTTCGCAGGAAAATGGGATTGCAGAGCGCCGCATTGGCATGGTCATGGACGTCGCTCGTACGTCTATGATGCATGCGGCTGCCCCCCATTTTCTGTGGCCGTTTGCGGTGAGGTACGCGGCGCATCAGATCAACCTCCACCCCAGGGTCTCCAGGCCAGAGACCTCCCCAGCCCTGCTGTGGACGGGGAAGGTTGGCGATGCGTCGGCGTTCCGGGTCTGGGGATCTCGGGCGTTTGTCCGCGACTTGTCTGCGGACAAGCTGTCCCCTCGCGCTGCTCCCTGCGTCTTCCTGGGGTTCCCCCCCGACGGCCCTGGGTGGCAGTTCTACCACCCCACCTCTCGACGTGTTCTGTCCTCCCAGGACGTCACGTTCGACGAGTCCGAACCCTACTACCGCCTCTTCCCCTACCGCACTCCTTCCCTTCCCCCGCCCCCGCTCTTCTTGGTACAAGGTCCCCCCCTGGTAGACCCCCTCCCCCCTCAGGGTCCTGCCCCTTCAGGTGTGTCCCAGGTAGACGCGGTCGAGCCTGTCGAGGTCACTGGTGACTCTAGTGCTGCTGCGGGAGCTGAGCCTGCGGGTGCTGAGCCTGGGGGTGCGGAGTCTGGGGGTGCTGAGCCTGGAGGTGCTGAGCCTGGGGGTGCTGAGCCTGGAGGTGCTGAGCCTGGGGGTACTGAGCCTGGGGGTGCTGAGCCAGGGGGTGCTGAGCCTGGGGGTGCTGAGCCTGGGGGTGCTGAGACTGGGGGTGCTCCGCCTGGAGGTGCTTTGCCTGAGGGTGCTGGGCCTGGAGGTTCTTCGCCTGGAGGTTCTCTGCCTGGAGGTGCGTCGTCTCGCCGAGAGCCACTCTCCCCACAGGAGCTGCGTGAGTGGTTTGCCCGGCGCTGGAGGCGTGCTGCTGGTGCTGGAGGTTCTTCGGCTGCAGAGGGTGCTGCTGCCGCGCGTCCCGGAGGTGCTCGTGCTGTGGGTGCTGGAGCTGCTGGGCCTGAGGGTTCTCCTGAAGCTGATGCTGCTGAGGGTGTTGGCGCTGAGACTACTGCTGGCGGTCCGACTGGCAGTGCTCCTGGTGCTGCTGGGGGTTCTCGAGCTGCTGCTGGTGCTGCTGGAGGTGCTGCTGGAGGTGCTGCTGGAGCGGGTACTCCGGCTGGGGGTACTGGTGCTGTCCTTGGCGTCGCCACGCGGCCCCGACCGTACTTCGTTCCGCTCCTGCAGCAGGTTCTTGGTCTTACACCTTCTCCTGGTCCTCCTCCGCCTCCCTTAGAGGGTCCATAGCCTGTCCAGTCCCAGTCACAGCTACAGCCTGCCTCCCCTTTGCCTGCTCCTTCTCCCTACGCTGGTCCGACTGGAGGTCTTACTGAGCGTCGTGAGCCTGCGTCTCGTCCTGCGTCGCCTGTTCGTCCTGCACGCACTAGTGGCCGCGGTTCGCGTTAGCGTCCTCCTCCTGTCCCTGGCACGCACCGGATGTCTCTGCGTCCGTCCACTGCTCCTCTGCGTGCCCCTTTGCCTTCTCCTCCTGAGCCCTCTCTTCCTGCTCTTGTCGACCCGGAGTCGGACTCTCTTCGTGCTGCCAGTCCCACTGTCACGCGTCTCCTTGCTACTGCTGTCACTGACCCTTCCTTCGAGTCTTCTGCTGCGTCTGCCCTTGTCACTGAGCTTGTCGACTTTGCTGCGCGCTGTCGTCTAGACTACACTGCTAGTCTTGTCGCTGAGTCTGAGTCTGCCTGTCCTCCGTCCGTCGGGGGTGAGTGTGCCCTAGGCACGGACGTCCTTGAGGACAGGCAGGAGGAGTTCCAGTGTCTGGCCGCCGCTTCACCTCATCTCGCGTCTGTACTGCTCGCCCCTGAGGGAGACCCGGATGCACTAGACATCCCGACTCCGCGCTCTTACGCGGAGGCGATAGAGGGTCCCTACTCCTCTCAGTGGCAGGCAGCTATGGACGTAGAGATGGCTTCCTGGAAGTCCACAGGCACCTACGTTGACGCTGTTCCCCCTCCTGGGGCGAACATAGTCAGTGGCATGTGGATTTTCAGGGTGAAGCGGCCTCCGGGTTCTCCGCCTGTCTTGAAGGCGCGTTACGTGGCTCGTGGCTTCAGTCAGCGGCAGGGAGTTGACTACTTTCAGACCTTCTCCCCCACCCCGAAGATGACCACTCTTCGGGTGCTGCTGCACGTTGCTGCTCACCGTGACTACGAGCTGCACTCTCTTGACTTCAGCACTGCTTTCTTGCAGGGCAGCCTGCACGAGGAGATCTGGCTGCGTCGCCCGCCTGGCTTTACTGGGTCTTTCCCTCCTGGTACCCAGTGGAGTCTACGGCGTCCAGTCTACGGTCTCCGCCAGGCGCCACGTGAGTGGCACGACACACTGAGGACTACGCTGGCGGCACTTGGGTTTGCTCCTTCTACTGCCGACCCGTCGCTGTTTCTGCGCACCGACACCTCTCTGCCGCCGTTCTACATCCTCGTGTACGTCGACGACTTGGTCTTTGCCACAGCTGACACTGCTGGACTCGCCCACGTGAAGTCCGAGCTGCAGAAGAGACACACGTGCACTGACCTGGGTGAACTACGCAGCTACCTTGGCTTGCAGATCACCTGGGACAGAGCACGCCGCACCATTACCCTGACTCAGTCACACATGGTGCAGCAGGTCCTTCAGCGCTTCGGCTTCATGTACTCCTCGCCTCAGGCCACTCCTCTGCCTACTCGTCAGTCGCTCTCAGCTCTGCCTTCGGATGAGTCCGTAGAGTCGAGTGGCCCGTATGCAGAGCTTGTTGGCTGCCTCATGTACCTGATGACCTGCACACGACCTGACCTTGCATACCCTCTTAGCATTCTCGCACGCTATGTTGCTCCTGGGAGACACCGACCAGAGCACATGGCTGCAGTGAAGAGGGTGTTGCGCTACTTGTGCAGTACGTCGGGCATGGGGCAAGTGCTTGGAGGGCGCAGTCCAGTGGTCCTCATTGGGCACGCGGACGCTTCTTGGGCTGACGACCAGGCTACGCAGCGGTCGTCACAGGGTTACACCTTCAGCCTTGGTTCCGGCTCTGTTTCGTGGCGGGCTACCCGCTCGTCTTCTGTTCTCGGCTCCAGTTGTGAGGCTGAGATCTACGCCGGGGCTATGGCTGCTCAGGAGCTTCGCTGGCTCACCTACTTGCTGACCGACCTTGGAGAGCCGCCTCGTTCTCCTCCAGTCCTGTACGTAGACAACAAGGCCATGCTGGCCTTGTGTTGAGAGCAGCGACTGGAGCACAGGACAAAGCACATTGCTCTCCGCTACTTTCTTGCTCGTGAGCTACAGCAGCGTGGACAGTTGCGACTTGCGTACGTGGCCTCTGAGGCCAACACTGCTGAAGTCTTCACCAAGGCATTTGCGCCTTGTGATCATCAGCGTTGCTGCACGCAGCTGGGTCTTGTGCCTGTCTTGCCTCACTTGCTCACTTCTTGACCTTGCTTGTACCTTGACCTATATATACTCTTGTTCTTGCTTGCTTGACTCTTGTATATCTCTATATATGATCTTGCATGTGAACTGGCCTTGTGGCCCTTGAACTTGTGCTCAGAATGTGTGGTGACTTTGTGATCCACCCTGAGCTTTGCTTTGCTTTGCTTGACTGGTCTTGTGACCCCTTGTTCTCCCCCACTTTGCCTATGGGGGTGTGTCAGAACATTATAGCTTACTTATTTGTGTAGGCTATAGTGGGGTATCCCATAGGGGGTACAACCCAACTAGGGTTTCCTATTTGTACTCACTTCATTCATAGTTCATTCATCCTCGTTCTTTCTTTCACAGGGAAGGGCGGCGTCAGGGCCGCAGGGCAGCGTATCGGGGCCGGGAAGGGCGGCGCCAGGGCCGCGGGGTAGGCGACGGGGCCGTAGGGCGGCGGTTCGGGGCCGGGAAGGGCGGCGCCAGGGCCGCGGGGTAGGCGACGGGGCCGTAGGGCGGATCGGGGCCGGGAAGGGCGGCACCAGGGCCGCGGGGTAGGCGACGGGGCCGCAGGGCGGCGAATCGGGGCCGGGAAGGGCGGCGTGAGGGCCGCGGGGTAGGTGACGAGGCCGCAGGGCGGCGAATCGGGGCCGGGAAGGGCGGCGTGAGGGCCGCGGGGTAGGCGACGGGGCCGCTAGGGCGGCGGATCGGGGCCGTCAAGGGCGGCGCGACGGGGTCGAGAAAGAGGAGCGCGACTCGGGCAAGGGCTGAGCGCGCTACGGGCAAGAAAAAAAAATGAATCGATGGGCCCTAGGAACAGTTCCCACGCGGGAATCTGCTCGATACCATGAGAAAACTGAAACGAGAATGAAATGAACTATGAAACAGTTGGGTACAAGTACTAACCCTAATTGGGTTTTACCCCTTATGGGCTACCCCACTACAGCCTACACAAATTCATAAGCTATAATGTTCTGACAGTTGTTGCGTCAGAGTTTTACGTCTGGGGCTGCCTTGCGCTTGTCCTTGACACCTCTGCGGACAAGCTCTCGGCTCGCACCATCCCCTGTATCTTCCTTGGTTTCCTGGTGGCCTCTTCTGACTTTGAGTTTTACCGGTCCTTTAATCCAGTGAGGTCCGATTTGACCAGTTCGTATCCTACTACACTCGATACCCCTGTCGAAATCTTCCGGTTCCTCCCACTCCTCTTTTCCTCGCCCCTACGCCTCCTCCTGCTCCCCCTCATCCGGTACCCCAGCCCCCCCCAGTCCACAAAAACAAGACAAATCTCAGGGTGGAGCTCAAAGTCACCACACACTCCGAGAGCAAGCAAGGGGCCACAAGGCCAGTCCACATGCAGGTATATAGCAAATATATATAGATGCAAGAGTACAAGACAGGCAGGACAATGCATCTTTACGTAAGCAAGTGAGGACAGGCAAGCACAAGGCCAAGCTGGGTGCAGAAACGCTGGTGGTCACAAGGCGGCAACGCCTTGGTGAAGATATCTGCAGTGTTGGCCTCAGAGACCACATGTACCACACGGGCCTGGCCACGCTGCTACAACTCACGCAGAAGGAAGTAACGAAACTGGATGTGTTTCGCCTTCCCAACCAGTCGGGGCTCCTCACACAACAGGACAGCATACCTGTTGTCGGCGAACAAGACTGGGGGAGAGCGAGGCCACTCACCAAGTTCGGTGAGAAAGAAAGACAGCCAGCGAAGCTCCTGAGCGGCCATGGCCGTAGCGTACACCTCTGCCTCACAGCTAGAACCGGCGACAGACGACGCCCGAGTCGACCGCCACGAAACAGCACCTGCCCCGAGGCTAAAGGACCCTTATGTAGACCGATGTGTCTCCACGTCGTCGGCCCACGACGAGTCCGAGTAACCTGTGAGTGTAACTAGCTGCTTCCCTCCAAGGATAAGTCCCATGCCTGATGTACTCACCACATACTTCGCCACCCTCTTAGCCGTGTACTAGTGGGAAGGTCGGTGTCTCCCAGGCGCAACAAAGTGCGCAAGGACGATAAGAGGGTAAGCTAGGTCTGGGCGAGTACAGGTCATCAGGTACATGAGACAACCAACTAGCTGAGGACATGGACCACTGGACTCAAATGACTCGTCCGAAGGTGGAGCCGTGAGCCCATGATCCACACCAAGAGGGGTGAGCTGTACCTTGGAGAACGGGAAGCGAAACCGCGTGAGGATCTGCTCGACCATATGCGACTGAGTCAGCGTAATGGTGCGAGCTGCCCTGTCCCTAGTGATCTGCAGGCCAAGGTAGTGCTGCAGCTCACCAAGGTCAGTGCAAGTGTGTCTCCTTTGCAGTTCCTCCTTCGCCGAGGCCGGCGCGCGCCGGTCAAGTGTGGCGAACACCAGGTCGTCGATGTAGACCAGGACAAAGAACGGGGTCGAGCCACGACGAACGAATAGTGACGGGTCAGTAGACGACAGAAAGAAGTCAAGAGCTGCAAGGGTCGAGCGAAGTGTGGCGTGACACTTACGTGGAGCCTGACGCAGGCCGTAGACTGGTCGACACAGCTGCCACTGGGTCCCAGGTGGGAAAGAGCCAATGAAGCTAGGCGGGCGACGCAGCCAGATCTGCTCGTGCAGGTTCCCTTGAAAAAACGCAATGGAAAAGTCCAAGGAGTGCAACTCGTAGTCGCGCTGGACACCCGAAGGGTACTCATCTTTGGCGTGGGAGCAAAGGTCTGGAAGAAGTCCACCCCCTCTTGTTGACTGAAGCCTCTCGCCACATAGCGCGCCTTGAACACAGGTGGTGATCCAGGCGGCCGCTTCACCTTGTAGAGCCATCGGCCACTGACGACGTTCGTCCCAGGTGGTGGGACTGCGTCGACGTAAGTGCCTATGGACCTATAAGATGCCATCTCTGCCACCTCAGCTACTATCCAGTATGGAGCCCAGAGTCCCGAGACCGCCTCGGCGTGAGTGCGAGGGATCGGGATGTCAAGGGCGTCTGGATCCCCCCCAGGGGCAAGTAGCATGGCGCAGAGATGAGGAACAGCGGCCGCAAGGAAACCAAGCTCGAACTGCCTGTCCTCAAGGACCTCCAAAGGAAAGATAGGAGCACCCCCAGAGAACAGAGAACAAGCAGGGCCACTCACCACGTGAGTGGTGTAGTCAAGGCGGTGGGAAGAGGCAAAGCCAGCGACAGTGGTAACAAGAGCTAAGACAGACGACAGAGGTGCAGTCGGGTGAGTGACCAACGCGGACAAAACACGGGAGACGACAGGACGGGAGGCACGGAGGTAGTCGGACAACGGGTCGTGAAGCACAGTGAGGGACGACTCAGGGGGCTGTCGAAGGACATGAGGAGGTGGAACACGAGAGCGAAAAACAAGGTGGAACGGACCGTCTGCATGGTAACGGGACCGACGACGCTCTGGGGACATAGCACGACTGAGGGGAGAACGACGAGTCCAGTAGGACGAGGAAAGGGACTCAACAGGGGGAACAGGAGGGGACGGTAGGGGGCCATGAACAAAGCGTGCAGGTACTAGGTCGGGGAGGTCGCGTAGTCGCAGTCGCTGCTGCTCTGCCTCCTTTGGCATCTGCTGCGACGGTACCGGCCCCTGCTGCTGTGGCTCCGACTCTGCCCTGTCCTGCTGCGACTGCAGCTGCACCCGCTGCTACGACTGGGACTCCTGTGCTACCCTCTCCTGGTGCGGCCGTGACTCCTCTACTCTTTCCTGCTGGGTTTGTAACTGCACCTGCTGCTGCGGGTGGGACTCCTGCTCTACCCTCTCCTGGTGTGGCCGTGACTGCTCCTCTACTCTCTCCTGCTGTGTCTGTAACTGCACCTGCTGCTGCGGGTGGGACTCCTGCTCTACCCTCTCCTGGTGCGGCTGTGACTCCTCCTCTACTCTCTCCTGCTGTGGCTGTGACTCCTCCTCTTCTCTCTCGTGCTGCTGCTCTGCTGCTGCTGCTGTGCCCTCTCAAACCGCTCACGCTCCTCCCTCTCCAACCAAAGGAGACGCCGCTCACGGGTCAGGAAACGTACAGTGCGCGGTGTAGGTGCCACAGTGCCAGTGCCTCCAGCTCCAGCACCCCCCAAAACCAGCACCTCCACCACCGACACCCCCGTGGCCTCCAGTACCTCCCGCAGGAACACCCCCAGGCTCCGCAACAACCTGCCGCAGAGAAGAATGAGGAAACTGCGGGACGGACGGGAAACTAGGGGGTGAGGCAGGGCGAGGCCGCCAACTCGATGTTGCCGTGTCCTCCACAGGAGTGACCTCCGCGCCCTCAACCCCTGCACCCCCAGAGCCGACACCACCAGCTCCTGCAGCCCCAGTACCCTCACCCTCCGCAACTGCACCTCCCGCACCCCCAGACACGACAGGGACTGGACGCTACGGGGGGGACCACCGCGGAGTGACGTGCGACACACCTGACGGGGCAGGACGCGAGGGGGGGGGGGGGGCTACCAGGGCGACCCAGGGGGGCTCAAGGGGTGAGGAACAGCGGGGGGGAAAAGACCTCAGTACCTCGGTGGGGGCGACTCCTATAATAACAGACAGACTCGTCGAACGTGACGTCCTGAGAAGTGAAGAACATGTAGGTGACTGGGTCGTAGAACACCCAGTTGGAGGCGTCCAAAGAGAAGCCAAGAAAGACGCAGGCACGAGTGCGCGGAGACAACTTGTTCGCGCTAGGGGCGCGAACGTGAGCCAGACAACCCCAGACGCGGAAGACAGCTGCTACGCCTTGTAAACCTGACCAGAGAGAGACCAGCGTCACCCGTGGCCGTGCGTTACAGGGCCACAGGTTCAGCTGGTGTGCAG